TTTGAAATCCTTGCAAGCTAGCTGTAGTATAGTGCTCACCAAGGAACCTGTCTTCGACGCCACTCAGGTTTGAAGATAGCACATTTCTTGGTGTTCGCTAGCTCGTCTGGCAGCGAACCAACCGCTCGTGCCTCACCTTAAGTCCCAGCAGTGTCAACGAACGCCGAGTTGTCGTTGAATTACCGGACCGTAAATTGGAATGCCGCTGACCCTATGTTTGTTGACATTCTGGATTAATCCTAGCACTCCCGATATTTCAAGGTGTTGAGCTTACGTTCCGAATGCTGTCAGCTATCTGTCAAGGCGGAGGACCTGGAGAATACGGCGATCACGGTTGAGAATATTCTATGGTAATTTAAACGGATGCCGTTTTGTTTGTCTGGGTCACTCACAATAACCGTAGCCTAGATGAGCAATGTCAATCATTTTTCCCACTTTACATCAACCACGGATACTGCGCTCTTGACATAGTGTGCAGTCATCTAAGCGCTTATTATATACAAGTGATCGACCACGAGGATATTAATTCTTGAAGCGGTGAGGCATAGAACATTTGAAGCAGCAGCCCGTTCGAGAGTGCCTCTGTATATCCGTCTTCATGGATGCAAGCTGTTCTTCTAGTTAGTCCATTTTATTATTCAGCTCCTCCATTTTTGAAACCTCCCTGTTCTTCTGCGACTGCATCTTGTCCAGCGTCGCCCGTGGCAGATGCTCCAGATGTTCTACACTCAGCTGATCACTTGCTACTCGGAAAATATTTGAGCAGTATAAGGATGTGAAGAATGGAAGAAAAAATGATCAAGCAGCGTGGTTAAATTACTATGTTAAAGAAACAATTAATGGATGCGAATAGACGACAAATTCAAACTTCGAACGAATTCACGTTTTCTGCATCCATCAGTGTCTTGGTGGTTTAAAATTTGGGAAGTGCGAATATTGAGGACGGAAGCATTCCATATATTCATGCCCAATTAGCAAATGAGTGAAAACTCGTCAACTCTTGAGTTGTTCGTTCTGAAAGCAAGGCACATTCAACTTGACTGTGAAATCATTAGCTGAAGACATCTCCGGACAACTCCGAAATTTACACCAATAAAGGCTGATGATGGTACTCCGAGTGTTGTAGTGACTTCCAGCTAACGTTAATTACGCGGCTACTTCAGCGTACCTGCATTAATGAAGAGCCCGAAGATGTACCGAGGCGTTTATCAGGTTCAAGCATGTTCTCAAAAATCGAACTAAATAATGCTTATATTGAAAATCACCACAAAGCGAATCCTCTAGTAATCTTCCGTGATCGACACACTTTTTGAGCTATCCCGATAGAATATCCCTTTCTTTTGTCCGAATGTTTCACAGGCTATATTTCGACAAGTTACGAAATACTATTACAAAAGTTTTACAGGGTGTTGACACGTATCACGATGATGTCATAGTGCACGGTGCTGATAAGGCTACTCATAATATGCGTCTGTCGTCTTGACTAAAGCAATTTTCTGAGTTCAGTGTAGCCATTTACCCCGACAACTGCACCTCTGGTGTTCTATCATCTTTGTGCTTTGGTTACATTTTGGATGCCAGCGGTTTTAATACCGATACAACGAATCTATAAGAACTGCCTTCAGTAATAAGAGCACCTCTGTATTACTCCCGTTTTATTACTAATTCCGCCAAACAGGCAAGTTGACCGTTTGATGTCATATCTTCTAATTAATTTTCTTAGTCCTCCAACCATGAGAAGACGTTGCGTGCACTGCTTTGTTACCTTCAGACTTCAGCTATTTGGAAACTATTTTCCGCGAAACACATTTCTGCCCTCATGGAATGGAAGCAATGAACAATGTGGGTTACCAGTGATATGCATTTCACTTCGACTTTAAAAAGCCGAACGTCGACATTCTCAGACGCAACGAGAAGCACTTGCTCTAAATTGGGCTGTCAAGCGGCTCCATAACTATCTTTTTCGGACCAGTATTTACTATTGCTACTGATCACGAGGCTTTGAAATTCTTGTGTCATGCAACAAAGTGTCTGGTGAAGTCATCTGCCACTATAGTGCAACGGTGAATCATTCCACTGAGTTCGTACACCTACAGGATTTTTCGGCGTTGTGCAAAAATGATTCCTTATGCAGATTTCTTGTCGCGAATTCCGTCGTGGAACTCTAGTTCAAACACTTTAGAGTGTTTATTGATTCAACTATTACTAGTCCAACGGGAAAGACTTGGTGACGATACTCAAATACGTTCTACTCCTATTCGGTCTGCACTGCTACGTGGCTGGATGCAACAAGAGCGACGTCAATATCCCCAAATGTACTGTCGCCACGAACGTTTGTGGTGCTTTGAGCATAGCGTCATCATTCATCCGATTCAACAAGCGGTTGTTTCGGCAGATTTAGACTCTGGTCATCTGGATATTGATGAAGTGTAGTCGTTTACACGCCTGTCATGCTGGTGGCTGAAATCGGATTCCGACGTGAAATGTACTGCTGAGCATTGTGTTAAATGTGCACACAAGGTTCAATACAAGTCTTTACAGTATTACCGTGACCAGTCACTAGTTAGCAATTGTAACGAGTTCCTGCCGACTACTGCGGTCCTTTTTTCTCGGTAAATACTATGTTTTAATTGTTGTTGACGCATATTGACGTTGACCCGAAGTTTTTCTAACTACTTCTACAAGTGCCGAATTTATGCAGAAAGCACTGAGGAAAATGTTCAGCCAATAATGTTTTGCTCACTGACAACGGCACACACTTCACTGAAGAACATGTCGCCAACTAATCACTCTTCCACGACATCCCCAGTCGAATATGCCAGCTGAGATTCTTTTTTCGTTCCGAACACTGTGAACTGACATTTTCTCTTGTTTGATTGAACCACAGAATTGATAACAGCCCAATGCAATGCAGGAAAAGTCCTGCGCCAATACGAAGATCATGCTACAATTTTCAAGGGTAGTGATTTACGACCAGATATATTTATAGGTACATTTTCACTAAACGACAAACGTATGGTCACCATTCTTGATTTGGATGATCTCTTTTTCGCTGGAGACACATTGACCGGGTTGAGTTCAATATCAGAGATCAGTCTGTTAGAGGCACTCGTGCTGTTCGTATATTCTGGTGTTCGAACAAAGCGTTATATTTGAAGACCACACTACCCGCAAAGAACTTCAATATTCCATTCCGCGAAAACACTGAATTATAAACATCCACACAGTAATTCAAGAATTGGGAGTACGATGAACATGATTGATACTTTATTCACTTCTTTCTTTATTATTCTGTTGTTTTAATATTCTAGGTGGTGTATATATATACGCCAATTCGAATACATACGTATTACTAGTTACGCCCTGCTGTATTCTGGATTTCTAGTTCGTCTGGTTAAACCGATATACGTGCGGAAGTTATTTATCACACCACCTCTCTACATGAGATCAGAAGAATTTCGCATTATTTGTCTAAGAGCGCCTTGTGAGCCCATTAGGCCAGTACCAGATTTTTTTCTCATCACCTTAAATTTCCCCCGTCCTCTTCGGTAATCGGTCTCTCTCTCTCGAAAACGTCCTCTTTGGTGTAACTGGATATTGATTATGGACGGACTAGATAAATCTGGCTAGGGATCAATCCCGTCCCGTCCCACGTGCACAAACTTTACCAGTGGATGAATCCGATACGACAACATCAGGTTGACAATGTGGTGAGAGAACAACTGCCAAAACAGACAATTCCGAAAGACTCGTTAACAGTCTGATTGTTCGAGAAAAGAAGGCCTTCCCAGGGACCTCATCTAAATATCCGATGACGTTTGAAATGGCTGTATGAGAGCATATTCAAAGTCGAGGTGGCTAAGTTTGAGGATACGTCTCTAGCACGGTTTGATTGACCACGAGAAACATTGAAATTTGGGCAGTGTGTTTCAGCTGACAGACGACATAAAACTGTTCTACCTGTATCGGCCTATTTTTGTTCCTATTGTCCACCGATCTTGCACTGGGACGGCAGATATGTAGAGGCGTCTTGATGAGTCCACAATGTTTGAGAATCCCGACGGTTTTACCCAAATGCTTTCGGCTTCTTCCGAACGATCTTTGACGGCTAGCTTGATGGAAAAACACAACGCACGCTACGTGGTGATGGCAAAGCACGACACGGACCAGTTGGAAGTCAGTTTATTTATGCAAATTCACACAGCACGATGTGCCGCCGTTAGGAACAGACGTTGTGGACAGACTCAATGAGAGTTTCGGGATTGTATCCGGCTTTGCACAACTCCATTAGATGAGTTGTGTGTTGGGGTACATCTGGGTCCCGAAGACAGAGAAAAACGGAATCTCAGCTAGGAAATCAGTCCCGGCATGCAAACGAGATATTCAGCACGCTTACTACGGACCAAGGACCAGGCATGTCCCACACAGGTTTGCAGCAATCATTGACAATGATTTCAATGAAACAGGAATGTGTGTTCACATAAGGTTCATAAAAAGTACATCAACAGAGATCAGCATCCCCAAGAAAATGTGCCAACTATGATGCTAGTGAGTGGGGAAGATTGTCAGTGAGGAACACTGAACGTCGAGCGGATACTGGGCTCGAGATTTGAAAAAAAAGTTATGAGAGTTGTTGGCGAGTATCCGCCTAACTGAATTTCGGACCAAACGAAACATCATGATGTAAACTGCTTCATTGCTAGCATGTAACACGCGAATTTTCTCCGCTACGCAGCAGATGAATGGAAGTGTGACAGCTCTACGAAACAGGGCGTTAATTCTCATGTGTAGTTCTATGCCGTGGACACGTCCAATTAAACTCGTTGATGGAAAACCGATCCCGTTGCAGAATTAGGTAGCACTTTGAGTTTACCTAAAAGCTTGATACATTCCGCTATCGACTCTTCATTCCGGTGTATCAGTAGATAATAATGACCTTGGAACTTTCCAATTGTCGAAAATGAACAATCAACAGACAGGCCCAACAAAACTCGTTGATGCAGCAACCATCCCGTTGCAGAATTAGGTAGCACCTTGAGTTTACCAGGTGATAATTTCTGTGCCCTTTCCATGGTCAGTGGAAAACACCCTGTTCCGTCGGAGGGTGCAACATGAAATCGACGAACAGTTGCAATCAGTGAAAAGCTTGTTATTTGGGCTGATAGGCTTTCGACATCAGCTCGATTATCACTGCTCATGCTACAGCCAATCATCAGACGCTCCTTGAGTTTGATCTACGATTCCCTCGCTCAAATGTATCTAAGTAGATTGTCCGCTATTCATATAAAAACTGATCAGTCTGTCTGTATAGCTCTCTGTGTCTTTGTGTCTATCTATCTATCTATCTATCTATCTATCTATCTATCTATCTATCTATCTATCTATCTATCTATCTATCTATCTATCTATCTATCTATCTATCTATCTATCTATCTATCTATCTATCTATCTATCTATCTATCTATCTATCTATCTATCTATTATCTATTCTATCTATCTATCTATCTATCTATCTATCTATCTATCTATCTATCTATCTATCTATCTATCTATCTATCTATCTATCTACTATCTATCTATCTATTTATTCTGTAAAAAAATCAGTGTCGACATCTACTCGGATTGTGGTAAGCGCTTCTGTCACTGAACTGCTTGGGTATAAGGGATTTGTAATCAGCCCAACATATTGCAATCTCATTGCAATATGATTTGGTCACTTGGTTCCTTAAACATCCAGTGGCTTAAGAAATAACTGTTCCAATAGACAATTCAAAATATCGAATATTGCGCTGCACACATACTGACATCTCCCATCGTTCCGGTGCATCGGTAAATCATAATGACCTTGGAATTTTCCAACTGGGAGACGTCCCATCGCCTGAAAATAAACAATATACAGACAACTATCAGTTCATTATCAACCGTGATAGCGCTTCGTTCTATACAACAAAGAAGCATTTCACCCCGCGACCGTAATTTTACACCTTAGTACTCACGTGTTGGTGTTGAAAAATCCGGTTGATCAATGGACATCTGTTCCGAAACCGTCTCACAAACATCACTGCATAGCACTAGTATTATCAACTAAGTTTGCTCGTTCAGGTCCAAGGCACTCATCGTTCAATCAAGGAAAACCAAATCACGTGGCCACATATTGACCGGCTCCTGGTGTGCCAACTTTCCAAATGGATGTTTCAGTCATCGTGTAAATCTATTCTTCCTCTGAGTTACTGGTAAACGATTCATAACATTTCCACTTCCTATTTTACCGTAGCACAGAAACGCATGAATCTTAAGTTACCCGAAGCCATTGTTTTTGTAATCCGAAATATGACACTGGCTAGGTTTGAATATCTAGATGCCTGTAAAGGCAACCTTGCTGAACTTCGTCTACGGGACCTGAAGTTCCTAATCAAGTATTTTCAACATTAACCGTCACCTATCACAGTTAGCATAATACAAGTGTCATCTCGATAAATACACTGATTTTCACAACAGTTTGACTTTTCACATGTTACCCAAATGAATCTCTCCGTGGCATTTTGTGACTCACCATTTCACCGTATTTCATCACATGACTTAACATTGTATCCCTTTTCACCTGCACGTATTGTTCCTCCAGCGTATGCGTTTTTAGATCATTCTGCGTGCGGGCGAGAGACAGTGATAATGGGGAGTGACGTGTAGCAGACAGATCACCTTACGCAATTGTAGAATGAATCCGCTGTCTGCAAAACATTGAAACTATCACTGGGGTTAAGACTACCGAGGTATCCAAAGGAAAATACTGCCGATAAATTATTGAGCCTCCGCTGTTCCTGGACACCATACATGCACATAAAATACGTCTTGAGGACTTGATGTTCTATGCTTCAGGTCAACACCACCACCATCATCATGATCGTCGCCATCATCAAATATGCACCGATAACTACTGCTGGTAAACAAGTGAGCAGTCCGCTCTTTGTTTCTGAACAGCATCATCATTATCGTCATCGAGAGCGTTAACAGAGGAAAATACTGATGATTTACTGACGTACAAGCATTCCAAATTATTGGTAGTGGAACAAGAAAGGCAAATGGAACTGGAAGGAAAAAATGTCTAGCCTACAGCATACAACCGAGATACCTACACATTCTAGACCTAAACAGACAATCTGAATAGAAACTGACAGCATAAACGCCATTGGCATACTGATTCATTTCGACAGATGCATTGAGAAAAAAGGTGTTCAGGAGATCCACCAGCATCATCGTCACCTTTATAATCATCAGCATCGTTATCATCATCAAAATCTGCGTCATCACTGTCAACATCCGCAGTCAGCACTGACGCTTCCCAGCGTGCATTGAATATCGATTTAAAGGCGAACATGATTAGGAGGGTAGTGGGAAATTTCGGACGAACAAACAATGGATTGATTATTTTCCGACCACCGGACGGCCGTGATGGTTGAATTGCCATAGATCCTCTTCATGCTTGCAAACGAAAAATGGTTTTGATATTCAAATGGACTACCACTGGCCGCTGAATACCACCGGATTACCCATTCACAATTGTCAGGCTAATATGCAACAGTACTGTTAAAACTTACGTATTCCGAATCTAATAGCCAGACATACGAGTATTCGTCCGCTAGACAAACATCGATTTCATTGTCCAAACAAAACAAAGAATAGGATAGTTCATCTTCCTTGGCTGCTGTTGTCACGTAGACTGCAGGTTTAGGGGTTCACACAACAGATATTATAGGTCAATATCAAAGATATGTGAGATAGTGAAGTAAATTATCGACGAACGGATCCTGTGTCTCACAGAAATAATGGAGCTGCAAGACGTCTAGAACCAACACGCTACTCAGAAGGTCACTGACATTTCATGACAGAACCTATGGGTTTTCGTGCTTCTTGCGGCGAATCGGATACACGCAGTTTTTGAATATCCCTAAGACTTAATCAAGACTTGAACACAGACTGGGCATAACTTGCCAAACACCCTCATGAACGAGACATTTATCTGGGTTCAGTTGGGGCAGCCCGTCAAAATCAAATAAGAGTGTGAATGCATAATCTGATTGTCATGGTAAAACTCAATGGAAAAAGACCACTGACGAGAACGGTCAAAGGGAGTAACGCCACAATCGTTGGACCTGTTGTTTGATGGGTTTGAAGTGTACGTTTTATAAAAGACGCACATACATTTATTATTTAAAATGAAGCCAGCCAGTTGGCATTGGTGGTTGCTGCAAATAAACAATATCATCCCAGATTATACTAGTTCACCAGTGGGAGTGACATTAATCGATGAACGTTGGATTTTGTGTTATCATCGGCTAAACGCTTCTTGCGTAGAGTCATGTGGTACTTCCTCACAAAGATCGCGTACTGAACAAGAATAAATCAAGCTTGGAACTTCGTTCTGTTTTACTGGTCAACGCCGCTTTTAAACCATATACGGTTGACATTATGAATGATATTTCACGGGATCCATACAAGAATCAGCCAGAAATTTGCGCTACTTACTTCCCATATTTGAAGGAAGAACATCGCGAAACATAGAGCCAGCGTTGCAAGAATCCACGTATAGCACCAATTTGTTGAACATTTTTTTGGAATGCATGTAGGCGAGGGTATCGTTCAACTCCATGGCGTGCAGCTGTCGCAAGACGAAAAGAAAACTTCTCGTGAGCTCGAGATGAGTCATCCGGTGAATCAGTCACCGGTGATGTGGATCTCTCGATTGAAGAATGGGTGGCGCTATGTCCTGACTTAGTGCGGGTATATCAGGCTGTTGGTCGGTCACTAGTGGTCGAACGGTTACACGTTGCATCTATCAAGCGCACCAATATGTATGGAACAGCTGTACATTGCTTCTCGGCTTTCCATCACAGACTGGTTTCTCAGACATAAATGCAAACGCTTCATACTATTAAAGATTCGTGCTGTCGATCTGGAAGCGAAAAGCGGTATGTTGTCTTGTCAGGAAAAATTCGGCTGACCCGTTCTTCGGATCACCTACGTCTCATGAGTCACCGGATGCGACCATTTTCTCGGTTTACGTTATCTACGTTTGCTCAGCAGTCTGAATGAATCGACTACGAAATCATGTGAGTCAAACGACCTTGAACTTTGTAAAACGAAATATATGTGACGGTGTGATTTAAAACAGCTTGACGAAACCTATCAAACATGAATTCCTAGGGATGGTACTCTTGAGAGTGACATACGAACGTCGTAGCTTGTTTTCCGTCTTACGGTTGATGTGTAGAACAGCTGGACTGTGAACTCCCTTTTATAGAGAATTAGCGATGTCATTGCACCAACATGTTTACGTAGGCGTTTTCAATCCGTTCGCAATTTCGCTTCCAACTAAAAAACTGCGTGCTAAAACCGCGGTTACCAAAATTAAATAAACTTACATATTCTTTGGGGAAGGTGATATGCGAAGTCCCACCATGTCCAGTGTAGAAGATGAATACGTTGTCATTAGGACCGCTGTTAATGGGCAGAAAGGTTAAGGTGGTCTTGAAGAGTATTTTATTGACTGGGGCTCCCGCATATAGAAAAACATAACATAAAACCCGCGCAAATGGTAGTATAGCAAACTCGTAGTTCGGAATATTTTTGTACACGCTGCTTGATATAATCAGTAGGTAAATTAACTTCCTCCAGTCTCTATGGCCAGTTGAACATAGGGATGAAAAGTCGATTTCTTGGACGTCTTTTGGCTTTTTCCTATGGTTTTCAATGCATGAAGATGGTTGGAATCAGTTTTGCAATTTTGCTAGTTTTCTCATCTTGCCGTTTGATTGGGCACATTCAGCTCTTTTGAAAACACGCTCTTTTTAGAATGATTACATCTGTTTAATGAAATATGTACATAATGTATACACTACTGAGGAAAATACTATAAGGAATGTGGGCGATCCTACATTTTAAACATGGGCATCAAAGAAGCCATGTGTTTTTATCTAAAACTGATCTGGAAACATTCCTTTTGTAGGTCGCTGGTCAAGATGGTGTTCATCTATTCTCCGATCTTAGTGATCAGCTTGCGAATGTTTCATCACCAACCGAAGTGACATAATAAGTGAGCGGTTGAGTTGGAAGCTAGTCCATACCTGCCAAGTATTATAGGGCTGTTACTGTCTGGAGGGAGCATACAGATCTCGGGGTCCAAATGACAATTCCAAAATGTACTGCGTTGTGGCAGGCATCCCCTTAATTCGATTGCTGCTTTAGTAGTTTCTGTCCGAGGACCTATAGTTCATGGTCCGATTGATCGTTTACCGATTTCTAATATGGTGCTTTCTGGCTTTCCACATACGATTGGTTCTCTCTCCGACGTCTGGTTTCAGTAGTATATTTTTGCTGGTTTATTCCGAATTGCTGTTGTGCTGTAGCCTGATATTTCGGATATTGTACACGCGAAATCTCTTCTAGTTAATAAAATGTTTTATAGTGCTGATGGGATTATCACCTGTGATGGCCCATTTTATAGACCATCTCTCGTATCTTCTCTATCCTACCTAACAAGAGGCGCGGTCGAAAAAAAAATTCATTCAAATTAGAGATGGAACAGATTTAACCACATTTATGTCATTTTATTTACTTGGTCTGTTAGAGAAATTGGATCTAGCAGAGAAGCGAAGCGGATAGTGAAGAACTGCACGGAACTGGATAACGTCCGGCTCCCCCAAGACAAAGAATTGCGGGTAAAGAAGGCGTGGGAGGAATTTCGGAAGAACAACTGTGGAGTTAGCAACACACATAGGCGAGACAGGTATTTTAAAAGCTAAGAGTAATATTGGTGATTTGCGATACAAATTTGAGGGACCGCCATAAACCGAAAGGGCCGCCAGTGTACTTGGATTCCGATCATCAAGACAACAGTGTTCATTTGCGTTGTTCAACACCGTGGGTTGAAAGAAATCTTGCATCCGAGCAAACCAAGATCGACCAACCCCAAGTCGTACAAGTACGAGGAGAAATTCGACCATTCGCAAATGCGCACAACTTAATATTTTTGAAACTTCTGTAAAGTGGCCAACTCACCTTTTTAGCACCTTCTTGTTGGCTTCAAGTTTATCATCGCCCTTTAATACTTTCACGAAGTTATCTCGTGTGACATCCTGAAACGTATGAACATGCATGACCATGTATTTCTGTGACAATGGTGTTCCCCACAACCACTCTCTTCCCAGTAACCATCGAATTTCACCCTAAGAAATAAGTGAACTCCAGGATCTGCTCCCCAGCTTCATCCATTTTATTTCCGCGACGGACGCTGTATGCTGAAAACTGAAGAACTCGATTGTTGGTCTGTTTGCCAAACATGGCATTTGGATTTGCTCCTCAAGCCTAGAGTTAATAGTTGAGTGGAACATGGACTACCTGGGCTATTCACTACCTAGTAGCCCTCACCTACCTCAGTAGCTAAGGAATGCAACATACGTGAGAAATAGCCGCTATTTTGAAGTGAGTATCACTCATCAGCACTCAACTGGATCACAGTTGAACATCTCTTATCCATGATATGCTTTAGCTGAAGGTGCTGTCCTGGACATGCTGCTTGGTTTGGTTGGTGCATCACTCGGGATATCACAGGATATTTCCCCGGAGAAACTTTTCGGGCACTGTTGGCCCTCGTGCACATTTTGTGGTTCTTTTGACAAGAACGCTGGCCTACTCGTTTGGCCAGAAGCAGAAGTTTGAACTCGGTCATGGGCTGCCTGTCTGTTTTCTATGACCTTATGGCAATTGTTCGTTGAAGTGGTTCGAACATTCTGTAATATAGTAATACTAAATAGCATACTCTACATTTGTTTTGTGAGTTGATCCCCAGTGCAATTTCACTAGCTCTTTGAGTTACACGGTGAACTGATGCAGGAATTCACTTGATTGCCGCGCACGGGAACACGGAATTACCTTTCCTCGGTAGTCAATTATCACACCATGGTAGATATCGACGTGCTGGTAGTCATGGAACACTTTGCCTTTAAACGGATTTCTGGAATAAAATGATGAAAGGTGGCAGTGAGTGCTCTTAGAAAATTAACACGTAAGTCAAGTTAAAAGAAATCAAAGGCACACGAATTCTGTTCGAATCCGGTTCGCGGGCTTGCTTCAGAAGAAATTTTCAGAACGATGAGTGTACATTCTATCACGCAAAGGATTGAGTGCAAAATAATAATCCTTTACGCGGAAATAATTTAGGTATGCTACAATTATCCCCGTTGAGTGCACAACAAACAACATCACAAATTTGGTGCGAAAATGTAATTCCTTTGGATTTATTTACATTCAAACTCCACCAGCAGGTGATTTGATATGCATACCAATATTCAGTGCACTTTGATGTAATTCAATTTTGCAGGGAACGAGATGGCTCAAATGGCTAGAACGCGAACTTACCGACCGTAAGTTCCGTAGTTCCAGCCCTACCTTTGACTCCCGACCGCTTCTGTCTAGGCTTGGGAAACATGGCGGTAAACAAGAACTCGTTCAACCTTCGTGTGTCATGGCAGCTAGGCACCTTGAAGATGCTACACCCGAAAGAAAGACTCGCGAAAAAAAGACTTCCGTTTGTTTCAGTCTAGACGCAGGCGGTAACTTTTAACGGTTTAAGAAAGTTTTTCACCTCTTCGGCTGCGTTACAAGATGTTCAGCTTAGTAGATTTTCTGCGTACTATTTGCTCCAAATGACCATCGGCTGATGCACTAGACCGACCTCTAAATATCTGTGTTTCATTCCAGGCGACGGATACGTGTACCCACACGAGTACATATCAGAATCATCGTCATCATCATCATGATCAACAGAATGTGCTGCTTGCATCAGGGTCTACAGTCAAAAAAACGCATCAACCAAAAGTAAATATGATAAGACTTCTGTATTGACGCCTGCAACACCATAATCGACTGCAACTCAAATCCAACAATTATACACATGATAAATACGGCAATAGAAAGAGGCTTGTTAAAGTCAAAAAACTAAGCACGTTTTCTACACTCTATTCGCTACCATATAGCGAAAATTGTACGCGATATTTACCTGGGATTGTTTGCAATATCGTCGTAGGCGAATGTAATTACGTTCTGCGCTGGAACCTTGTTTTTACGTACGACATGATACGCGCGGTAAACGTCCGCCTGAATGAGAACACAAATGAAACGTGAATTAAGGTTAACAGGCAGAGTGAGGCATGTAGGCTAAAGAAGGCTAGCAGTGCGTAGGAAAATCCATATTTGGTGGAGCATCAGATATCCCAACAAAATTTTGGATGTATTATCCCAAGATCGGAAAGCATTATTCAACTCTAGAAGCGTTGTGTCACAGAGAACAATCCGAAGGCCCATGACCGAGTTCAAACTTTTGATTCTGGCCAAACGAGTAGGCCAGCGTTCTTGTCAAAAGAACCACAAAATGTGCACGAGGGCCAACAGTGCCCGAAAAGTTTCTCCGGGGAAATATCCTGTGATATCCCGAGTGATGCACCAACCAAACCAAGCAGCGTGTCCAGGACAGCACCCTCAGCTAAAGCATATCATGGATAAGAGATGTTCAACTGTGATCCAGTTGAGTGCTGATGAGTGATACTCACTTCAAAATAGCGGCTATTTCTCACGTATGTTGCATTCCTTAGCTACTGAGGTAGGTGAGGGCTACTAGGTAGTGAATAGCCCAGGTAGTCCATGTTCCACTCAACTATTAACTCTAGGCTTGAGGAGCAAATCCAAATGCCATGTTTGGCAAACAGACCAACAATCGAGTTCTTCAGTTTTCAGCATACAGCGTCCGTCGCGGAAATAAAATGGATGAAGCTGGGGAGCAGATCCTGGAGTTCACTTATTTCTTAGGGTGAAATTCGATGGTTACTGGGAAGAGAGTGGTTGTGGGGAACACCATTGTCACAGAAATACATGGTCATGCATGTTCATACGTTTCAGGATGTCACACGAGATAACTTCGTGAAAGTATTAAAGGGCGATGATAAACTTGAAGCCAACAAGAAGGTGCTAAAAAGGTGAGTTGGCCACTTTACAGAAGTTTCAAAAATATTAAGTTGTGCGCATTTGCGAATGGTCGAATTTCTCCTCGTACTTGTACGACTTGGGGTTGGTCGATCTTGGTTTGCTCGGATGCAAGATTTCTTTCAACCCACGGTGTTGAACAACGCAAATGAACACTGTTGTTTTGATGATCGGAATCCAAGTCCACTGGCGACCCTTTCGGTTTATGGCGGTCCCTCAAATTTGTATCGCAAATCACCAATATTACTCTTAGCTTTTAAAATACCTGTCTCGCCTATGTGTGTTGCTAACTCCACAGTTGTTCTTCCGAAATTCCTCACACGCCTTCCTGACCCGCATATGACGAGATGGCATGTGTCGGCACACAGGGACAAGCCAGGAGACGCGGCAGTTATTTATTCACTCGCAAA